AAAAATAAAAACTAATAAAAACACGAATCTACTGCGCATAAACAAACCCAAATTTGGACTAAATTAGGGCTGTTTTCCAAACAGCAAGCACCAAAATTCTCCCAGCGCCAGATCCACCAACTCCCGCTGCCGCAATCAAATGAAACGAACCGCACAATACAGAAACACCATTCATGGAAATTTAATTCAATCGAATGCAGAATACTAACACGCTATAGACAATACCATTAAATTATGCGAAATCTAAAAAATTCACTAAAAACATAAACACCAGAAAGATGGACAGCCGTCGAATTGCAGATGAACACAAAAAGGAGATCAATGGGACTAATAGATGGATTTTTTTTCGGGTAACAAGTAAGGGATTTCACTTGCCTGATTTTCAGGAGCGATGAGAATTGAGAAAAGAGACCACCGCGACGAATAGCTTTCCAGGAACAGGATCGATGGACTCTACGAGTTAGGGATGAGGTTAGAATTTGAGGGGCTCGAATCCATTAATATAAGCCGATGGTCTGGACCGGGTAAGTCTGTGCTCTTCAGTTACTTCATAGTTTGACCACGTTGTATTGACTAGTATGTTGCACGTGCATAATATCCACATTAATAAAATTTCAAAATTTAAAATTAATTTTACAAAATTATAAATAATATTAATTTATTTAAATTTTAGGGAGATTTAAATACATACCACTCTATATTATAGGTGTCAAGGGATCACGTGCATTCGCGCACTATAAGAGCAGGCAAACTGGCGAGGCTCTAATGCGGCGAAGCACGCTGCGGCACAGCAACAATGCAGGTCTAGCCGATTGTGTTAGGATTTAATGGAGACAGAAAAAATAATTCGAACATCTCCGAAAGATGTCAAATCATCGAGAAAAATTTTCGGAAGCGTACATGGATCCATTGAAATGCATAATTGAGGTTTTCGGCCTTCCACATTTGTTAGCGGCGTTCTCCTAGAGAGCGAGAGACCCCTTCTTTTCACTCAAGATGGGAAGATGAGGGAAATGAGAACTTAACCACTTAAACTAGGGACCACGACCCTTTTATACTTTAAGTGTAAATATTTTATTTCAACCCATCATTAAAATAAAATAAATACCCGACCTCTACATAAATTAATTCCATACAAATTTAATTGAGATGCTACATAAGCTAAATAATTATTTAATACTTAAATAGATCACGAATTTAATTGGCTTAATTTTAGAAAGTGTCTAATGTATAATTCTTTATTTATATGTATAAATATATTGTCCCACATATGAAAATTTGAAATTTCCCAACAAATTGGCCATCTAGGTCTTGCGCGAACGGGACGACATCAACTGCAAGGTAGCAGCAACAAGCCAACACTATTTCCAAATTTCCAGTTCGGTATTTTCGGACTTGACAAAATGTTAGACGCTATCACCTAAGATGCACGGACATGGACAAGGCGACACAGACACGACACGGACACGACACGGACACGGGACACGGCATTTTTAAAAATATAGGACACGAGTGCAGCGTGGACACGGCATAATAATTTTTAATATAATATATATAAATTAAGGTAATATTATATTAAAAATGGCAAGCAATATTAAATCAAAGTCATGATAACTTGTTTAGCTTATAACATAAAGATGTTTAGTACAAAATGTCTAGTACAACCACAAAAATATAACCAAAAAACCATTTAGTACAACATGAAAGTTCAACTACTCAATAGAGGGAATGATAGAATTAGATTCAGATGTTGGTCTTTGGCCTTCAATATCAATATTAATTTTTCTTCTCTCCTCCTCATTTGAAAAATATCGTTTCAAGCATATCTTTCTCATATCTTTCAAGCATATATATATTTTTTTAATCCGGACACACCCAGAACGTGTCGGACACGTGTCTGTGCCGTGTTGGACGCGTGTCCGTGTCCTACACTGCATTGCCTCTTAAAATGGAGTGTCGGTGCATCATAGGCTATCACACAACAAAAATGATGAGACGAGGTGATGTGTGATGTTCTCGAGTCAACCCATATTGATTTCGGGTTTCTGGGTCAACCCAAACCATACCCAATTTTACAAACGGGTTAGAATCCCGAACCCAAACCTGATCCGTTTCTCAAACGGGTTGACCATAACCCAAAATTTTCAGGTCGAGTTCGAATCGAGTTTTCCAGTCATGTCAAATATTGCACCCCGGCCTACCCTATATCATGTTATTTAAATATCTAACATCCCAAACTTTAATATTTTATATTTATAATCTATATACAACTTTATTATTAAATATATCACTCCTATTTTCCATTCTTACCACGGATATCATCCTATAAACTTTAATTTTTTATTCATTGTGCTCATATTTGACCTATGGCTAGAAGACATGAAATTTTAAAGTTTTGATATTAGATATGTAAATAGTATGATATAAAGTGATATATATGTAAATACTCCTAACTTTTATTATTCATACATAAACATTATAAAAAAGCTAAGTTTTTATTGTATAATGAAAACAGACCGCTCACACATATGAAAAAAAAAAATCATTTTAAATTCTTGTGATCCAAGATATTGTCGAGTTGCTTAATAGATATGACATCATTAAGGGATATTTTGGACAAATTACTTTCGCAACTGGAGTTTTAAAAGGAATAAGCAGATATCAAATTAAAAAATTTTACTAAAAATTATTTTAAGAAGCAGTAAAAAAGTCGTTCCAAATGAAACCAAAGTTACATGATAAGGAATTATACGGAAGTCGTGCTTCCAAAAAATTGAAATAATTGATTTTGACTTATTGAACCTCAAAAAAGAAAAATTAAGCCAAAACAAACAGGTCCTAAATCTACAGGGATCTTAACAAGCTAACGTATCCTGAATATAGCTAAAGTATCAACCGATCTTAATCAAAATTATTTCAAAATTGGAAAACATATTATTGACTATTCTCATTAAAAAAATGCATGCGATACTCTTTAAAATGCGAATATTATTTGCATATGCAATTTATTAAAAGAAGTTGAGGGCATTGAGATATTAACGAAAGTTTAGAAGTTTTAAGAAAAGAATAAGCAAAAGCAATTTAGACTTTGTTTGGGATAGTTTTTTTATTGCTTCTTAACGTAAAAAGCTGCTTTAAGAAACAATAAAAAAACCGTCCCAAACGAACTGCATTCTATGCTTCTATTCTGGGAAGGAGATTCAAATAGAAAAATTGAACATGTTAATAGATAAATGTTTTGCAACAAAAAATGGAAAGGAGAATATAATTTTGGAAACATGATAGCATATTGCACATAGGTGACGCAGCTTCACTTTTTTGAATTCCTAATAATCCAACGAAAATATAAGATTCTATCTAAAAACTATATATGCAAAACCAAGATTTCAGCAAATGAGATTTGGCAAAATTATGATACAAGAAGCAAGTTCAAGTACAATCCTTAAAATGGATACTCTTAACCTGCTATGAGATGGATTTTGCCATTTAATGGCTATTGAAGGATGACAGTCCTATCACTGCTGGAATTGCATCAAAGAGGGGAGTGGGTTGTTGACTGACAAAAACAGAAAATAAATAAGAGGGAAGACGCTGGGGCTGGAAACACCTTCATCTCCTTAGGTTGGACCAGCGGCTAGTGGGGGAAAGGGATAGAAGCAAAGACGACAAAATTAAAGTAGGCAACTATCCAAATTGCATTGTTTGAGAACAGCATGAAGGCATCTACATCATTTTCTCACTACTAGACTAGTGACAAGGATGGGAGTGGGATTAGTGGTGAGGAAGGGAGCAGGGTGTTACAACCCAACCCGACAAGACCCATAATTCTAGATTTCACAAATATACATTCAGATCTCTGGAACTTACTTCAAAACACATGTAGACTTTTTTTATAGACAGATAATTTTCAGACACATGCAAAAGAATTCAAATGTAGAAATTCAACAGTTTACCTGACTTCTAGGTGGGTTAAGACATTTTGAACAGTACTCTGATCCCAGAGGTGTCACATGGCATTAGCAATGAGAAGGAGAACACATGGAGAGGAGTTGACAAGCATCTGGTAAATATAAACATGTCATCTTCATCTCCCTCCATTTTGCCGGCATTGAGTATGCAATGGGGTGGCAAAGATGAGTGAACGCCAGAACGGATATAGAAGAGAAGAGAATCCAAAGGAAAAACATAGTTTATGGGTTTGCTTGAACAGCAAGCCAAAATCCAACTTTTTTGTTTCAACTAATGGCATTAGATAGCTCTGTTTTAGGTTTCAAGTAATTGATTACCAAATTTAAATTTGAAACCTGCCACATCAGATCCTAATATAAGTGAATTTTTTTAAAGAGGGTAGCATTATTCTTTATTCTCTTGTCGAGCTTTACATATTTCTGAAGAACAATGGCTCTTGGTAAATATAATTGTCCAGATCATAGACTGAATTGAGAGCCTAGAAACATTACATAAAAAATGAAAAAAAAATAAAAAATAAAAAAATTCAAACACCTAAAATAATCTTTGATTTAGCTTGTGTCCCGACATACATACAACCAATCAAGGTTTTAGTTACATTTAAAAGAATTCATGTTCATTATTGACCATTGAATTTGTTTGAAAAGTTGCATTTATTTTTCTCTTCTTCTTGCCTCTACTATAATGTGAATATGTTATAATTGGCCAAAAAAGAAAGCCATGTACAGAATAAAACTGATGACTTCACCATTTAGAAATCTGAGAAGCAAGAGTATAGAACTTACTGCAAAATAAGTAGCACGGCTCTGTGATGGTTGTTACTGATTGAACGTTTGTAAATCTCCCAGCATCAAAGCCATTTCTGATCGCAGCTCCAACAACCAAGTTACCAAAGCTTGCAGACTGTGTTACTGAAAAAGGAAATTGATGCCATCAGTAATTCCAAAAGAGTCATCTTTAAAACCCAGAATAAATTGACTTTACAACTTATTCTCCAATTTATAATAGCAATCATTCCCTTTAAAACTACCTTAAAAGCTCCTCATACTAGGCTGATGTTTGGATTGTATCCATGAATCATCATCTCATCTATCAAAATTTCAATGATCTGATGAATCTCAGTGGATATTGCCTGCAAACCTTCACCAGCATGGAATTCGTGGACTTCATTGTCTACCTCAATCCAGCTACAACCTGGTGTTTTGGAAACACCCCTCTCTCTCATCAACCCTCTCATCCTTGCAGAATCATCCCACCTCTTTGAACATGCATAAATCTTTGAAGAGATAACATAATTTCCTGAGTTTAAAGGCTCCAACTTCAGAATCCTACTCATAACTCTCTCTCCAATCTCAACATTTCGAAAACTTCGGCAAGCACAGAGCAAAGCCCCCAACATAACAGCATCAGGCCTCTCTGGCATTTTTTCCATGAGATCCCATGCTTCTTCCAAGTTTCCAGCACGAGCTAGAAGATCCACCATACAGGAGTAGTGTTCAATTTTTGGAACTACTCCAAACTTAGGCTTCATCAAACTGAACCAATCGCGGCCTTCTCGAACCAATCCAGCGTGCACACAGGCGGTGAGTACTCCGATAAAAGTTACATCATTTGGCCGAAGAGTTGGCTCCTCATTCCTCATTCTGGAGAAGAGACAAATGGCCTCCCTGCCTCTACCATGGAAGGCAAGACCAGAGATCATGGCATTCCAAGAAACAATATTCCTACTAGGCATGGAAGTAAAAATGGTAATGGCACGGTCCACATTCCCACATTTGGCATGCATGTCAATGAGAGCTGTACCAACATAAACATTGTGGTGAAGACCTCTCCTTAGAGCAAAATCATCCACCCACCTTCCTAATTCTAGGGCACCAGTGGCACCACAAGCTGACAGTACTCCAACTAATGTCATTTTGTCTGGCTCCACATTTGCTTCTCTCATGGTGTTGAATAGCTTGATGGATTCATTGGATAAGCCATTTTGTGAGTACCTGGTCCAGACATAATTAAGTCAACCAAAAGTTACAAAAAGATAGCATCTTTTATGAATTATTTCTTTCATTTTATTGCACACAAGGAAACAAAGGAAAGAACATTCAATCAGAGTTAGCAATGTCAATCGGAAGGATGAATAATTCTATGGAACACTGCCTACCTAGATTTAAAGAAAACACGCAGCTGTGTGATCAGGTAGATCCATACCAAAAGAAGCAATCAACATGAAAATGGAAAATATGATAAGAAAAATCATCAATAAAAAAAACCTGATAATCACCATGACTGTAATCACCACCATCAATAACAAATCAAATAAGAATAAAGTCAAGAAAGATGGTTTACTTAGGTCATCCTCATGAATCCCTTTATGGATATATCAGGAACCTGCATTTTGTTCTGACTGCTAACTTATCAGATAATACCTTCAGCTTAAAATCATGTTAACTGGACCTAAATAAAATATTTTCGTTTTCCATGCCACTAATCTAGAAGGACGCAAGCTTATCACACTCAACAAAAAAAAGACCACTTGGTTTTGCAGTACATCCATTCTTTATGGTCTGTGATAAAATAAGTTCAATGGCTAACCAAAATAAACTAAGTAGATTATGAAATCTAGACATACCCTGTAATCATTGCATTCCAGACAGGTAAATCCGGATTCGATATCTCATCAAAAACCCTTCTCGCTTCTTCAAGGTTTCCACACTTTCCATACATGTCAATCAATGCGGACCAAATAAATGAATTCATCTCCACTCCACTCTCCTCCACCAACGCCGCCACCTCCTGTCCCAACTTCAAATCCCCCACCTCTCCGCATGCCGCTAGTATGCTCGCCGCTGTCATCCCATTCATATCAAACCCCTCCCTTCTCATCCTCCAAAACAACTCCAAAGCCTGCATGGAAAAACCCATCTTCATACACCCCGAAATCATTGCATTCCATGAAACCACATCCCTCTCAGCAATTCCATCAAACACCTTCCATGCACTCTTCAAATCACCGCATCTAGCATACATAGTGATCAACGAATGCTGGGTGTTGAGATCTAAGTCAAGACCACGCTGGATAGCAGAGCTGTGGGCCGAAAGGCCATGGTAAGCGGACGGTAGATTCGCAGCAGCAATGAAGACGAAAGGGTAGGTGAACTTGCTTGGACTTTCACCAGACTGAAGTAACCGGAGGTAGAATTTGAGGGCTAAGGCGTAGCTTTTCCATGAAGTGGAGAGGCCACGAATCATAATATTGAAGGAGAAGTCATTTGGAGAGGGGATTTGGGAAAAAAGGAGGAAGGAGTAGGAGAAGAATTTGAGGTCGACGAGCTTGCAAAGGAGGTGGTTTTGAAAATGGAGGGAGGAAACGAGCATCTGGGAGTGGATTTGCTTGATGGATTCTAGGGTTTTGGATTGTTTGAGAAGAGATAAGAGATGAGCTGGAGATGACAAAGGCACAAAGGCTTTCGGTTTGAACATTTGTGCCTGGAATGGCGGGAAGCTTAAGAGGATCGGTAAATTCTTCATAAACTTTAAATCGTTAGATTATCGTAGAAACTCCTCAGAAATTATTGTGTACTCAATCCAATCCGAACCCATAGTAAGGTTCGGATGTTGTTTGCTGCTTATTTTACTGCATATTTTTTAGGTAAATTATTGCATTCGGTCACCGGACGCAGAGATAGGTCCGGATATTAATAAAATATTATTTTAAATTAAGCGCGTCAAAAGCGCAGGTAAAGCGCAGTTAAAGCACACCTAAATAGCACTTAAAGCGCAGTCAAAAGTGCAGATGACGTGGCATGTTTTTATTGGATGTCCGAACCTATTCTACGTGTCCGGTGACCGGATGCAATAATTTGCCTATTTTTTTATACATAATTTTTTTGTGAAAAATAAGCAGCAAATAAATAATACTCACTAAATACACAATAAATACGTAGAAAAATGCGTAAAAAATTATATATCAAAAAATATGCAGTAAAATAAGCAGTAAATACGCAGCATCCAAACCTTACTCTGCGTTCGAATTGCGTACACAATAATTTCTCTCATGATAATGAATTGGTTTGATTATATAAGTTTGGAGACTTAGGGGCTGTTAGTTAGCATCCATGATTTGATTTAAGTAGGATTTCGTAAATTCTTATTCGGATTTTGAAAATGTTGAGGATCCTAAATTCTAAAATCTATTTGGTAACATTCATAATAAATCCTATTAAATCTCATATGACTATTTGATATAGAGTGGATTTAACAAGCTGACTCTTCCTCTCAAGCAAAATGATTTCACAAATCTGTCAAAAAATGGGATTTCGGAAATCTGGGATTTAGCACGAAAAGGCAGAGTTTGCCGTCTAAAGCGACTTTCATTTGCTTGAGATTTGGTTTTGCATTTTAGGCCGTTTGGCTGGATTTCGCTCAAATCCACCTCAAATCCGGCCTAAATCCTGCTACCAAATAGCCCCTTAGGCTTCGTTTGGGCGGCTTTCTTACTACTTCTTAAAGCAGTTTTTTAGTATAAAAATTAAAAATTTTCTACTAGAAAGCTGCTCTAAGAAGCATTAAGAAAGTCATCCCAAACAAAACATTAGGGTTTATTTGGGACATCTTTTTCATTGCTTCGCTTCAAAGACCGTCATTATATCTAGCCAATGTTTTTTGTTGATTTTCAAAAAAAAATTTATTGTGGAAAGTTGTATTTACAATGAGAAATGCTAATAAGTTGATTTTCACATAGCAACTTAACAACCAAATTAATTAGAAGCCGAAGAGGTCGCAAACATATTCTTAGGTTTCGTTTGGGATAATTTTTTGCAACTATTTTTTCACTGATTTTATGAAATTATGTACTAAACAAATCCTTAATAATCTAGAGATTGCTTAAGAGGAACATTTTTAAAACTTAAGTGCAAAGTTATATCCAAAATTTAGTAGTCTAATGAGAGTTATTAGGTTTAGATGTATATTATTTGAGTTTGATTTATGAAAAAAAAATCAAAGCTGATGAAAATAATTAGAATTTGGCAGTATTTTTATTATAAAGTAAAGAAAATTCTTCTTAGTAATTATATTTGGTGAATTGTACTTATGATCCAAATATTATGATAAAATTAAATTTATACAAGGAATGATATGTAATGCCCTAAGATTAAATTTTATAAAAGTTGCATATTTTAATCTCTTAGATAATTAATTAGAGCTTCAATGAATTCATCAACATAAATCAATCCAGTGGAAGTAACTAAAAATCATATAAACATTAAATACAAAACTATATTAATTACTCAAAATTCATATACATTTGCCAAGTGTTTAATCCATATATTTATCAGTCTATCTTTTAGTTTTTAACCATAAAAGAATAAAACTAAATAAAATGTAAAAATTAAATTAAAACCTGTGTCTCATATTTTTCCTCACTTAATTGAATTGATCCACAGGAAAATCATAAAATATCGACGGAATTTCTGGCAGTTATGAGACTACTTGAAATTCCAACGATAAAGTCGGCAGATTAACCGTCGGTATTCACCGGCATTTATACCTGTGGTATAGCTGAAAAATTCTGCCAGTTCTACTTAAGCTCGACATAATTTTTGATGGATTAACCATCAGTTTCGAGTAAAAATTTTCCAACCCCTTCTTGAAAATAAGGCAAACAATAGAGTGAGCTAACAACTAGTAGGTAATCAAAACCAACGACTGAAATCAATGCAAGGTAATATGAACAATATGCATGTAATCATTCAATCGCTATTAGTATGAACACATAATTATGAAAGCATTAACAATAAATGAACCAATAACATGCCATATGATCAATAAACATTAGTACAATAACATATCTTAAGAGCAGTAATCAGTAACCAAGTGAACAATGATCAGTAAGTTATGTCATTCTTATACACAACAATTACAAAATAGTTTATATTGCATATTATTACATCAATATGCATGTAACAACCCAAACTCTTAAATATCGAGATAATTGCCTCTATAGCCTATGGGCTTCACGATTTTGTCTTTTTGTTGTAACTTTCCAAGAGGTCACTCATCTTAGGATTTCTTTGAGACTATAACGATTAACTACAAAGTTTCTTAATAAAATTTTAACAATAACATCAAAATGCATCTTCATGTTTAAGAGTTTAGCTTCTTTTTACTTAATAATTTTTACCATCTCCTCACTTAAGTGACTGAAACCCTCATAAGTATCGTTATCCTAGAATCATCCATTAAGCAAATAGGATTTTAGAGGTGGCCTCTACAAGTTCAAGTGGCGACTCACGCCACATAGCACTTTGTCTCATACAGGGTTCAAGAGGTGACTCCTATGGTGTAACACTTTACTTATATGACACTTAATTCTCATCTTTGAGCTGGTAGATTCCTCTGATACTATTTGTAATAGCTCAAACTCTTAAGTATCGAGATATTGTCCGCTTTTGTCTAAGGGCCTTATAATTTTGTTAAGTTGGTGTAACTTCCTTGGAAGCCAACCATCACTGGATTTCTCTAAGCTGAGCATGTTTAACTGCAAAGTTTCTTAATGAAATTCAAATTATTACACCAAAAAATACTTCAATGTTTAAGAGTTTAGCTTCTTTTTACTTAAGGGATTTCATAACACTTGTCATTATCATATGCATGTCATATAGTATTTGATGATTATTCACAAATTTTATTTTAAAGATAAGCTCATCGATCCACTGTCCTATATAGGATAACATATCTCCAACCAACCTAAATAAGTTAATCATTTTCGATCAACCCTCCTTATGTGTAACATAATAAACAAGTGATATTATACTCAACGTTCAACTCATTGTATCAAGTGAATCAAAATTAGTAAAATTCATAAATAAATAAATAAAACAGTATCTCTTTTTCACCATGTATATACCCAAAATAACAAGTATGCATGTCATACACTGATATTATAGGACTTTGACTAATATTTATCCAATATTTATATTTATCTAAATTTCTAAAATTAGAAAAAAAAATTCCAAAAATATAAAAAGATACATTGAAATTTTAATACATTCATGTCCATATGTGCAGAATGATTAAAACTACAATATACTAAAATTATATGATGGAGGTTTACTAAAAATAAAGATATTGTAATTTTTATAAGTTTTGACCATATTAAAATTATAAGAAATAAAATGCACAAAATCATTAAAATCAGAGGTAAGGTAACGACACACTACCTTAAGACAAATAATTTTTTCAACATGATCAACTATAAAATTGTCTCTAAAACCTCATACCATGGATTTTCTTTTCTCTCTCCTCTCTTTTTCCTTTCTTTTTTTTTTCCTTCTGTCCTTGGGGAAAATGAATATAAAATTTCCATTTCTGGATTTTATAGTGAAATATGATATTTAAGAATAAATAATGTTAAGGGCATTTTGGCAATTATTCTAATTATTAAATTTTTAGCATGCAATTTATATAACTTCTTTTATATATTTAAATATCGGGATCCAAAAATTAAAAAAAAAAATACTTATAAAATAACCAGCATGTCTAGAAGACTGGTGAAATTAGTTCTCAAAATGAACACTTAACTATTCAAGAAAACTCAATTGTACCAACATATGTCAATTTTTTACACTATCTATAAAATTAAGAGAAAATTATTATAATTAAAGCATAATAATATTTATATTATGATGAAAATGGTTTACAAATTAAACTTATAATGATTTTTTAAAAATAATTTGAATGTTTTAGATCAAAATATGTATTGTATTAAAGGTTATTACATGATATCCATTTGAGAATTACTTGTGACCATTGGATCTAGTTGTAGGATCTTTTGATATCCCTGGTTATTATAAATGATCATGATATAGATGGTCAATCATACATATGTTGCAAAAATTGTATCGATCGATGATTCATTAAAAAAAATCAATATGATTTTAAAAAGATCGAATAGACAATTGTCCAATACTTGTGCAATGGTAGGATAGCTGATAGTTTGATTATTTGGGTGTTTGTAAGAGTCAGTTGAGGTTATCTCGGCCTATCCTATTTATTTACAAACAACACTCCAAATTTAAGCTTTATTTGGGATAATTTTCTTACTACTTTCTAAAGCAGGTTTTAGTACAAAAATTTCTTGAAAGCGGTTAAAAAGCAGTGGTCAAAAGTTATCTCAAATGCCTCAAACTAGCGCCGCAACGCTGCGTGACGGACTGGATGATTTTTTCTCTAATTTTTCTGAATGGTTGTGTCCCTTAGGATTATTTACTTGACTTTCTCATGTATTTCTATAATGCATATATTGAGAACGGTGTATGTGAGAAGAGAAGCAAGGGGAGAGTGAGAGATAAGAGAAATCTATATTTATTTCTCCCAATTTTCATAGTGAATTTCTTAGTGTGGCGTTGCTCCGTGATTTTTTTCCTATTTTGAATTTTTTCACGTTAAATCTTGGTGTCATTTATTTTTCCGCTGCTTTTACTTTCTTGCTTGCTTTATCATTGTGGTGTTTTACTCCCTCATACCCAACACTATTGCATTACAATAAATATGTGATTATTTCAAATATCTTAGTCCTATTATACAAAAGAATAAGAATATATATGAGCTTGTTACTTCTAGAGTTAAGTCTAGGTATTTATAATAATAAAAAAAACTTTTTTTACTAAAAAGCTCATATAATTAATTTATTATAGAGCATATTTTTAAAAAAAAAATTAATTTTTTAAAGTCAATTTTCCAAATGAAGCCTAAGTAAATGAAAACTTACTTGGATGATTTATACTTATACAATGAATGATAAAAAAATGCACTCATTAAATAAGCAGTTATAATTAGTGTCAGAGAATTAAAAAAGAATGAATAAACCTAAGATAATATAAACAAAAAATTAGTGAAAACTATTTTAATAAATTAAAAAAATACAAATAATACTCAACAAGATTAAATAAAAAAATAAGAATTAAAGCCAGTCACAACCACACATCTTCGCCACCAAAGTTGACATGAACCATTGCCACTAAGGTCAGTGACCTCAATCACCACCACCGTCTTCACTCTCCGTCACCACCAGTGTCAATGCATGTCAATGCCTACACCCATTCTCACCACAAAAACAAACACTTATGGTAGCAAATAGCGCCCACCACATATCATCGCAAACAAGGTTGACGTTCATCTTCACCGACAACATAAATGCTCATCATCCTAACCAAGGCCAATGCTCGCCTCCCTTATGGTTCGCTCCCCTCACAAGAAGAACAATCACGCATATCTTTTTTTGGGACATTTAGGCCATTTAAGGCAAACTCACACACACAACGCATACACATGGACTCGAACCTTGGACCTCTTAGTTGGAAGCCTAAGCTCTCAACCAATAGGCCAAGGGCAGTTGTGTAACAATCACGCATATCGTTGACCATATCTTCATATTTGATAAATAATGTTTGTAATTTTGTGAAAGATAAATTCATACTATTATTCAAATTTGATGCACTTTATTTTTTAAATATTTGGAAAGAGATAAAACAACATAGAATACCACTGAGCTACACTTCAAAGAACAAAACTTATGAACATAAATAATACAAAAAAAAAAAAATAAAAGGTTCTATATGCTATATAATTAAAATAATTATTTGATTAATTGTAATTCAAAATCAATCTTGATTTTAAATATCACTAGCATTCTCCAAATTTTTTAAATGTAATGATTTTATTTTTTACATTAAAAATAAAATAAAAAATGAAATATTTATTTTCTTAAAAACATAATTATTTTATAAATACAATCAACACAAAATTTATTTTCATTTAGGATAGCTTTGTTACTGTTTTCTAAAACAATTTTTTAGTGCAAAAACTTCTAGAATTAAAATTTTTTATACTAAAAAGCTGTTTTAGAAAGCAATAAGAAAGCTAAGGCAAACAAAACCTTAAAAGGATTTACAATTATTTCAAATGACAAAGTAGGAAGAGAATCAAAGGCAGTCATAATAAGCCATCTCGTGTATAAACCATTGGAATAATATAAACAATCAAAGAGGAAAAAGCTCACAATTGAAGGAAGGGATAACGGAGAAAATAGAACAAACCTTAAACATGCTGCTGCTCCTCTTCAGATTCTATTTCTGTTTAGTCTGACATTCATAGAATAATAAAAACAAACCTGAAGAAAAATTTAATGGAATTAAACAGATAAACAGTGTAGATATAGCATCAGTGACAGCAAAGGCAATAAGCCTGCAATAACTCAATACACCTGTAAATCCTGTTCCTGTTTCTGACACTTAGGCTTTGTTTTGAGATGGCTTTCTTATTGCATCTTAAAACAGCTTTTTAGTATAAAAAATTAACTTTTGTACTAGAAAGCTGCTTTAAGAAGCAGCAAGAAAACCATCCCAAACAAAATCTTAAGGAGAGAAAGCTCAGTATTCAAAACAACCAAAAGAAATGGCCGCCAAAAAAATCAATCTTGTCAGCTATGAGAACTTCAAAATCACTTCTGAATCATCTCAGGGCCCATGTGGTTGCTGGAAGTTAGAAAAATATGCTTAAACTCTAAAATCACTTTCAAAATCCCTCAAAAAATGTCTAAAAGCAACCGAATGAGCCTTTGGCTAATTTTGATTGTATTAAAGGGGCTTGTGAACCATGGAATTCCAGCATATAACAAATATGCTACTTTCTGCTTTGAGTATCTTAATAGGCGGATGACTTAAATAGATCCACCAAATTCATGGTAGTCAGGTATCTTTCAGAGAACCTGTACACCTTAGTTGTTATTGCTTGAATTTATCCATAAGTAGAACTTCCTTCCATGCTTCATAGAACATCCAGGTAATTCCAGATGAAGGCATGACCTTCAAGCAGCTTGCCCCCCATCCTCTGTAGAGGCCGAGAAGCCCCTCCTCCCGAATGACTTCTGCGAGTGCGGCCGCCATGTTGGGCGGGCATTTTCCGTGCATTTTGCCGATCATGAGCCGTTTCCGTGCTACTTCTAGAGGAAAGCTTATGGTGCTCGCCGTGAAGCCTATAAATTAGAACAAAGTGAAGAAGTGAAAAAAGAAATGTAAAATTACAAAATGACAAATTCCAATTTGATATCAATGATGAGAGATGGGTACTACTTAAATTTGGTGTTTTCAAAAGAAAAGATTGTTCTTTTAAGTTCCTCCGTGGAGTACCACATCAGTTTCATTGCATGAGTTTAAAAGCAATTTTTCCCAATGAAACTGCAAAGGGGTTGATCAGTCTGCTATTAGCTTGTTTTGTGTATAGAAGTATCAGACAAAGAATTGGATGTAGAACCACAAAGAAGAGGTGCAAGCATAGCATAATCTAAGAAAATGGCAATAGACACAAGAAATAAGTTCAAAACAAACAAATTTAATGCAGGATAAATGAAGGTCATGATTTCCTTAGGGCATCTCCTACTGAAAACCCCATTTTCCACTCAAAAATGTAATAAAACTTCAAAATGTAATCATTCATCTCCAATCGAACATCATTTCTTCTTCTTTCGCTCACTTCCTATGAAGGTTACCATCTTTGGCATGCTTTTCTCCTTTTTCCCGCACTTCTTCGGCAAATCCCGCAGCAAATTTTTACGGCGTAGGTGAACAGTCCGACGCCAATATTGATGTTGCGCTGTTTACCTACCGGAATTTGGCGTGCGATTTGGAGTTCGAATGGAGCAAATGGGCGATGGCATATGGTGATATGGAGTTCGGTTGGAGATGGCCTAAGGCAACTGATATGATGAATACTTCCACGAAAATAAAAATTGAAAATCACAAATTGCTAATTAACAGTCAATCCAAAAACTCTCTTTCCTTCAATGAAAATCAGAAACAAGAGTCGCTAAGCCCAATTGATAAAAGTATAATAGTAAACATCCAGGAATTTCAACAGGTTTGAAAACAAATAAAATTAGCAAGCAAATGAATTAATTTTCATAGAATCAGCTTTCCAGCATATCACTTCTTAACTAAAATCAAGAGCACTATTAGCAATAAAAATTTACCAAAGTAGAATAAAATCATATCTAATCCCAAATGGTTATTTGTTATACTGTAAATTATAGCTGTACTCTAAGATAAATGGTTATTTGCTAAAATCACATTACGGCTGTCTAAAATGTTGTAAAAAGCTGTTTGAAAAAAAATTTGTCACTGCACTGATGAATTAATAGAATCAGCAAAATGGGCATATTCTGGATTTCATATAATAATAATATAATATTCTAATCATAATGATATTTAAATTAAATGCAAAATTATTTAACTACTTGATAAAATTTAAAGAAACTGCCATCACAAGTGTTGTTCCAAGTTGCTTTTGAATTTTCACACAGCTAGACTTTTTCTCAAAATTGTTACACCAAGTAGCATAATGTTTCATTTGGGATGACTTTACTGTTGCTTCTTAAAGCAGTTTTTTAGTACAAACTTTTTTTTGAAAAAGAGAACTTTGTACTAAAAAATTACTTTTAAAAAGAATAAGAAAACTGTCCCAAATTAAACATAAAACTGGTTCTACAGTTCAAGAAAGCAAAAAGCAGATAACAAAAAGCTATACCAATCGTAACCATACATTGCATGTAAAAAACCCTTAAGAATCAAGTGTCAATTGCATGATAATTGCAGCAAGCATTTTAAATAAGGCCATAAATCACACCTGAAACAGCCCCAATCACTAGTAACTCGGCGCGGTTCAAATTCTTTTTCTTCTTTGACTGACAATATGATGACTTTACTGTCTCATACATGAAATAGTAACATGTGCTGTAAGGAAGCATGCCAACAAGAGTTGGAAAAATGCCAGCATATAAGCCCCCAACACCATCATCTTTGCATATCTTTCTAAAAGCAAGGCTAATGGAAGGGTAAATCTCTCGATTCACAGTTAAACGATCCTGTAGCATAAAAATGTGACCAGAGATCAGTACAATCTGTCATAGAAGTTTCTCCTCAATGATACAACAAGAAAGTTTAAGGCTTCATTTGGGACGGTTTTTTTATTGTTTCTTAAATTGGCTTTTTAGTACAAAAATTAAAATTTTGTACTAGAAAGCCGCTTTAAGAGAAAGCCGCTTTAATAAGCAGTAAAAAAGCTGTCCTAAACAAAGCCTAAATCAAAGAAAGTGTGAAACAGCATATAGGGGGCTCAACATCTTCACTGAGAGAGAGCTCTATGCAGAATAAATAAGCATAGTTAGAATCAGAGATACAGAATAGCATAAAATGTTTACTCAAATAGAAAGCATGAAATTGCACTGTAAAGATTCCATGGTAGTACTTCAATTGTAAACCTAGGAATTAAAAGGAACCTTGTAATGAATAGCCGATAAAATCATTGACGTTGTATCAGGGAGATAGAAACTTACTCGAGTAACATAAAACTCTGTGACCATTAATGAAATTAAAAGGCAGCTTCAATCTTAAAGTTCTAATAATAAGACATCATCATCATCATAATTAGTTTTTTCCCAACTATTTATGATTGATTTTATAAAACTTTTTTCTCTAATCATTATTATTGAGTGTTGCATGAAGAGTAAAATATATTCTACGCAATTCTATTGCATAATTTCAATCAAAGTTACCTATACCCCTCTTCCTTATCCTTCCATATTAATTTTCTCTGCCATAAATGTACAAATCACTTAAATCTATAGTGCATTAGAGTGTGTTATAACTTATAATATAACAATGAATAACTCCAATGTTATTAGCATATCAAGGCACAAAAGTGCAAATAGTGTCTACTATGAGCTCTATTTGTATTCTATATCCTCTATAACATGCGTTAGTTGTTTGGTTCAACTTTCTAAATGATATTTTAATTGTTTTGATTCAATTTTTTTAGTTTAATGGCTTGAGCATGAGTTATTTAGTTTAGATGTATAATAGGGCCTTGATTTGGATGCTAAACAATTGTGACATCTTTGACCCAATTTCTTTTGATGACCCATATGTTAATAATTGGTTAGCAATAAATTTGGATAATGACAGATGATGAAGATGAACTAGCATTTGGTGAGGAAGAGTTGACATGAAGCACCAATTTGAAAGCTAGTGGTGTCCATGAAATAAAATATAATTGAGACCAATCTAAGTAAAAAAATGAGTTTTCATTTAGATGAGCATATTTGGGCCGAAGAAGACTATGACTCCGGAAATGATAATGACGGAGGTAAAATTATATAGTCCACGATGATATATATATTAATACGAGACTTGCAAAAACTATTTCATATGTTTGGGCCTAAGAAGTAAAACATTTTATTCTAATATCATGTATTGCTACAATTGTGATTATTCATTTACAAATCTAATCGATTCTTTGCCATTATAATTTATTTCTCAATTTAGTTGTTTGGTTAACTTCATATATGTTAAAGCCATCTTATCTTCAATTTATGAGACATTGATAATGTTTTTTCCTTTAGGATATTTTCTTTCTAACATTATTGAATTAGCTTTTTTTTTTTTTAATTTGGCTATTGTCAAGTACTATGTGGTGTGCAATGTGGTGCATGCTCTAAGGGACTCTTTTGTTATATTGTATTATTTGATATTGACAAGTAATGCTCCAACTATTATTCTAATATCATTTCTCAATCTATTATATGTAATTTTGTCACGAACATTTTAAATATTACTATTTTTTTTACTACCAAATACTTAAATTTATACAATATACCTTAACTAATTATAGATTTATCATAATTTTCCTTTAGTCTCCATAACATTCTCTTCTAGCATGATACTCCTTAAGCAAAACAAGCTGTTAGGCCGACCCAAGGGGGGCCGGCTGAACCGGTCCCTAGTGGACCAATTTTTGTCTAAAGGCGGAGGGCCCAAGGGGGGCGGCTAAGTAGATGGGGCCCACACAATAATTAAGCATTGTATTAGAGGAAAATTTCAAATTAGGGGCTGTTTAGGGATTAAACTTTTATCCTTTTTTTAACTTTTGTTCTTTTGCTTTAATTAGCCTGGTCTTGCTAGGGTTAGGGTTATCTGGAATTTGAATCTGAATTTGGGATTTCTTGTATAGTGCTTGGGCTCTGGTCTTTCGCTAGAGATTTGGAGAGTTGGTTCTTACTCTCGAATTGAAGATCCGTGTATCTTGTGCTGTTTTTCTTCTTCTATTAGTGAATTTCAAGTATTTTTCTCTCAGATTTCCTACAGTTTTTATAAAAATCTGCTCTATTTTAGCTAAATTTCTCTGAAATTCAGAAAAATTTTCGTTATTAGTGGCTATTTTCTATCACAAGCATCCTAGAGAAAAATAAGACTACGGAAAGAGTTATGTTAGATCAGCAATTAGGAAATCAGCGAGTACAAAAACAATCCAATAAGCGTGCAATGACACAATCTAAAGGAAATTAGTTGAGCAACGATAGCCAAGAGGAAGGCATCGTAATTTAAGGTATGATATATGGATCTAAGAAATACCATTGATATATTTATTCTTATTCCTGAAGAATACAAATAATGTAACAGAAACGTGCAGCATAATATAAATAATCAACCTCTTCACAATTGAAAAGTCATCCAAGATCAGCAAGTAGGAGGATCAATTATGTGCAGCATAAACATAAGGAATTTCAGCAGACATGTTACTGTATAATCAAAAGACATTTGTCAAAGGTGACCTATTTTCTAGTTTAATATAGCAGGAGCACTGTCAAAATCTCCATCTACCTTTATTACTTCAAGAGGGTGGCAAGTGAGTGTGCTCACGATACCGGCAGCCGCACCACCAACAGCAATAGGAGAGATCCATGAGAATGAAAGATCCACCATTAGATTGCCAACTTGCAACTTTCGATTTCCCTGGTCTTTCCATTTCTCTTGTGCTGAAGATACCACACGCTTGACGTATTCAAAAGTTCCGAGCTCAATCGCCTGAGTTGGTATTATTCGCACCATGTTGATCGTATTTCCAGCCCAGAGCCCTTGCCAACCATGCTCTTCAATGATCTGGAGAAAACTGCCAGCTATTTGTTTGGATCCAACTCCAACAATCATTCTTGTCCTGCAAAGTGCATTCCACATAACATTTTCATACAAGTAGGATGCACATCTAAAAAATACAAAATAGCAATGACCCAAACAAAAAAAAGTTTGTATTTAACTACACTAGTCACAAGGATACGGCGCCAGAATGAACTAATTGCCATTAAGTGCAGCAAGAGAAACTTTTTTTTTCTAAAAATGATGAGTAAGAATGATATATAGCAAATTCAAGCAAGTCCATCTCAACTCAAAATCCAAATTTTGATTTTAAGTTCATTTAGTTTTGAGTCAATTCAAAAGCAATCGATTTTAAGTCAACTTTCAAACTGATTTGAGTCGATCAGAGTAAAGCCTATTAATTTTTAAGAAAATCTACAATGGCGAAAGTGGCTTATATAGAGATTATAGACCGTCAAATCTGCATTAGTTCTTGTGTATCAAAGTCTCATGCGCATCAGAAACACAAATTTCTTTGAGCAATGCTTCTCAACCTTGCATGCCTTGCATCCAACAACCCACTAGTTTATGTAATGCTTACTATTTTCTTTTTACAATGCATCATAACAAGCAAACAAAAAATAGAAAAAAATCCACCAAATTACCATGGTGCACTTGATTGTAAGCCTTAGCGGTTTTAAATTTTTGTCACACTTAGGAGTTAAATTTCTTTTCCTTAATAATATCTGGTACCTAATTCCTCCACCACCAATTCTGTTTGAATTTATATAATCTATTTCTAGACTCCTAAAACATCTATTGCAAAATCTTTCTAATGCAACAAGTCATCTTATCTTGCAATAAGTTTAGTTCAATCAAATTTGCAATTAGCCAATCGAAACTAACTTTCTTAAAACCCTAATAAATTCTCAACTTTTAGATTCCACCTTTTAATAAAGCAATAATTTTTTTTAGAATCTTACTTTATACTTCAAAAATCAAAATCCATACTACTACTATATATATGGTTTGGCCAAACTTTCTCTTGGAATCTCCTAACAATTTTTGCGAGATGTCTTACCATCTAAAAAATAAGTCATATTATGATTTAGTAGTTATACATGTATAAGTAACTAAGTTTTCTTCTCATTTCTCCATGCATACGATCCGTGAAATCAAATACAGCTTCTCAAAAAGCATTTCTATCTTAAATTTCATGAACATTATGAATCCTTGCACAATCAATGAAAACATAATAAGTTTTTAAGAATAAGTGTTCTCGCTTTATTAAGTGTACATGTTCATAACTCATCTATATCTTCTCGAAGTTGCTCATACTATCTTTTAATCTAGCAAGAAAAGTATAAGAGCTAGCACATTTATAACAGTCTCTTTGAAAATTAACTCGAAAACAATCATTGTTATCACCTTACTCCAAACCATTAACTACTACTCAATTTAGCAATTTTTTTCTTTTAACTTTCTATCCATTACTATCTATACATTATTGCTATTGATATATCTCAAAATCTTCCCATATATCTTTCAATGTCTCCCCTTTCATTTAATGAAATTTATTATGATTTTATCCACAAATTATAGTGTCGAACCATTTAGAGTGTTTGAATGTTGTGTAGAAAATCCAATTATAATCTTAAATGCTGTCAACATTTAACACACTTTTCACCAAAATTAGTTAAAGCTGTGCACTTCTCATCATAATCAAATTAGATCATGATGAGTCATGTTCGATAATGTTAAACAAACAACTTTAATTTTAAGGGCTTTGGCATAGGTTTTACGATTGGCTATCGACCTAACATCGGCTCTTTTGTTATGTATGGAATCTGGTTGTGTTGATCAATTTGGTTGTTCTGTTGTCTCGGACCTCAAAGCTTGTCGTGTTCGCCAGAGGGTACGGGGGGTTTTACCCCTTGCTTGGGTTCGGGTGCTTTGCACCTGGATTTTTTTTTTTTGGTTTAACGCCTCAGCGTTGTGTATTCGAGCGCTTCAGCGTTAAACAACAAAGAGCAGAGCACCGCAACGGCCTAGATATGATACTGCAGCGATTCAAGACAAAGTCTTGAGCGCCGCAATGTTTCAAACTGGCGCCGCAGCGCAGCAAGACGGACTGGACGGTTTTCTTTCTCGTTTTCTGAATAATTGCATCCCTTGGAGTTATTTTACTTGCTTTCTCTTGTATTTTTAGTTAGGGCAAGTGTGAGAATGGTGCATGTGAGAAGAGAAGAAAGGAGAGAGTGGGAGAGAAGAGATATCTATACTTATTTCTCCCAATTTTCATAGTGGATTTCTTGGTGTGGTGTGACTCCGTGGTTTTTACCCTATTTTGAGTTTTTCTATATTAAATCGTGATGTCTTTTACTTTTCCACTGCTTGTGGTGTTTTACTCCTCATCTTCCCAACACTCAACTTCTCTAATTAATAGAACTAGCAATGATATTTTCTAAAGGAAAAACCTCAAAAATCTCTAAATTTCTTTCTCATTCAAATTCATCGTGATTCAAGTTGATCTTGGGAGAGAATAGATCAATATGTTATGGTTCACCATTGTTGAATTGAATGTGAAGCATAAGGTTAAGAAGTTTGTTAGATACACAGGAAGAAGGGAACAATGAATGAACAAGTATGAATACAGTATAGTTATCTTCACATTTGCTTGCTTCGAGGAAAAGGATGATCAAAGAGAAACACAAATCTTTTTAAAGATTTTAAATATGAAGCAATACACATGCACAAAATTCTCAAATCAGTACACAAAAAACAAAATAGCAACAAATCACAAATCACATCGTGCAAGCTAAAGCAAAGTTATCATTTTAAGGTCATTGCTAACTAACAATGCAGCAAAGGCAATCATATACATGGGAAGTTAACCTTAATTTTTTGCAAGTCTCTACGGAAGGCGTAGAGTTATGATCGTACTTTTCAAAAACAATTAAAAATTTCACACTTTTTTTGTGGCTAGTTACCGCTAAAAATATATATATAACAAGGATTGAGATGGAATTATAAACCTATCAACCTTAACATTTACAAAACAGGCAAAAGGGTTCAAAATTAAACTAAAGAATGAAGCGCACCTGATGGTTTCCAAAGGAGCTAGAACAGCTTTTGTCATGGCACCAGCTAACGCACCGCTGAGAAACTCTCCTGCTTCTCTACTAATAACAAAATTCTGCAACAAAACATGAAAAAATGATAAATTTCTAGGAGGACAAAATGCAATTCTTAGCAATCAAAACTTGCATTTGACAATTCTGACCAAAACACTAATCATTTGAAGCTTGTGGTTTACATTTCTTGTTTCAGTCACTCTTTGGCTTTATTTAGGGGAAGGGGAAAGGGGAATGTGGAGTTGAGGTTGGAACAACACTTTGCCAAAAAGAGAACAAAAACCAACAGTAAAGTGCCCCTACTATAAAGAACTTCAGCTGGACTAGATAACATGAGAAGCATCCATTGGCCAAATCATCTAATTAATAATGGCAGCTGTTCTGTATAAGTTCCCATGGTACTCCCTAGAGAAAAAAACCAATTGCAATCTACTTGGCTGCTGAATCTGTTAGAGACAACAGAATAACCAAATGACCTAAGCTGAAGGCCTCTACATAGAATCTTTAAAACCAATTAAAGTTGCAATACCAAGCAGCTTTAAGAAGTACCAGTCTTTATCACTTCACAAAAGCAAATGGTAAAAACATGAAATGAAAGCAAAGCAATTTAAGTATATTTCAGTAACAGGCTAAACGTGCAGTGCAAAATGTAGGCTTGTGAGTGATGCTTTAAGAAAAGCCTGTGTGAGTAAATTATGAGTGGATTATTAGAAGACTCTAATTCTACATCATAACAGATCCAACCTTTGTTGGTAAGTTGCAAAATGTAAGTAAAACTGTTTAAGAGAAGCACAACAAACAGTAGCATGATTCCAAATTAAGCTTGAGAAAGAACCCAAAAAAAAAAAAGATTACCTCATTTTTGAAGGTGGTAGCAAATAGATTTCCAAAATATCAATCTCTTGGAAGGAGGCTTTCTTATAATGGTGGTGCTAGGTTGAAGGAAAAAAAGCAAAAAAAATTGACCAGAACCGTATAAGTGTGTACCAAAAAGGAAAATGGAGTGCCCAACTGCTAGGTAAGAAGAGGACATCAGATTGGACGTTAGAGCGAGAAAAAAAGAAAGATTGATAGAAACTATGATGGTGTTACATAAAAATAAGTACTCAAATCATAGAACTAAGTGTTTAACTCTATGATTAAGCTGACTGAACTAAGAAAATGACAAACAATCCAATTCAAGTTCCCTCAAAAGCAAAAGCTTCATAGATATTCACATCAATGCACACATGAGAATGTCATTTCGTACTTTATTTTGCACTCCTTCATGCTGTTCAAAAACAAGTAAAATTTCCTCTTCATGCATGCTAACTACAAAAGTTTAAATAATTTCATTTGCTTTTTATTTGTTGGAGTATTGAGCTCACTAGATCCCTGTTCAAAAAGCATTTTAATTATTGCATTGCTTGATTCGCTGACATCTACTATTAAATGCTATGTTATTAACAGATCTTATTTGTTTTGTTCATTAGTCTTTAGATGACAACTTCATAAAGGCACTCAAATCCAATAGTAATCGCATCTAAATGTCTGTAATGTTTGTCACCATCCAAATGCTAACACAGCTTGTCTTGGTCTGTTGGTTGGGAGCTTAGGTTACCAACTACGAGGTCTTGGATTCGAGTCTTGTGTATCAATGTGTGTGTGAGTCTGCCTTAATTGGCCTAAATGTAAAAATATATCAGACTAGAAGACAGCTTAAAACAAAAGGCAACAACATAAATATCATAATCAGCATTGATCTTAATAGATAACATACAAACACGGTTATATGAATAATTTTGTTATCTAGATGGTATTGCAATCTACTTAACATTGAACAAAACAACAAGTATTATAAATATGTCCCCTACAAAGCATGGTGTATATTAAACCAACAGAGAGAAGCCATTACTCATGCTAATAGGAAAGATCAACTCTATGAACTAGGTTTCCATGATCACTTAACATGGAACCATCAAGAGCTATACTTAAAAAAATCAGACATTTTGTGCAACAAACGTAACAATCAAAACTAACATGGAAAAAATTCATTTACCAATATAAGAAATTAAAATGAATTAAGGACAGCAATAGGCGCAGGAAGGGGAATTGTTCATTGAATTGCTAGAGAAGAAGAAGAAGAAGAAGAAGAAGAAACACCTACCCTCAGGGCTCGGCCAACGTCAGGCAGACGGAGCTCGACTGCTGCGGGGGAAGCGGCGGAGCCCTTGACCACCTCGAAATTGTTGGAAATCGCCATGTCCTTCTCCAAAAGCATCACCCAGCACCCAGGGCTCCTTTCGCTTCGACGATTCTAGTTCAAAAACCATGGATCAGCTTCCCAACTTCTATTTCCAGAAATAATCACAAGATTCTGAAGATATTTTCAGCAAAACCGAAAGTTACAAAATTGGAAAAAAAAATCAAAGATTGCATTCAAATACAGGAATTCGAAACGTGAAAAAATTATAAAAACAAAAATGGCATATTTCGCATGATTTTTGTTTCTTTCTTGCCTGTGAAAGGTATTTCCTTTTATCTACCTCCTCTTTTGGATATACACAAGATTTTCTGCGTCAACTCGGCTGCTGCACTCTCTCTCTCTCTCTCTCTCTCAGAACATATATATATCTATATATATTTTATATTATCGTTCTCTCTGCCTCGCTTTTCCGCAGATTTTCTCTCCCTCACTTTCTCCCTTCGCAGACCTCCCTTTGAAAGTTCAAATTGGAATATTTTAAACTTGGAAAGCCTCTGGAAGCGTCAACAAAAGCGGACCGACTTGGAGATTCCTCCACACTCCACAGAAGTTGAACTATTCAGCAACTTGCAACCTGCAACTTGCTATCATCGTTTTCAATCTGGCTTTCCCTGTTGCCTTTGTATAGAGGATTAAATGAGGCGCTACTACTATTTTAACAAAAAGAGAAATTGTTAAATTTAACTTTATACAACTCTAATTTTGGTAATAAACTAAATATCTTTGAAGGTTAATTATAGGAAGAAATTGCTTAAAAAGATATCTCTATGATATCAAAATTGGTTATAATAAGGAGCTGATGAAACGTTCCTCTTCTGAATTTTTTTTTTTTTTTTTTGGGAAAATTTAGGACTTGGCCCAATTCATTCCAGCAAAAAGAATACAATGATAAGGTTGACTACTACCACAACCTGCCAGTAGTAGTTAACCAAAAACTATCAGCAAATAAAGGCTGCTAAACAAAATTTAAATCCTCATTATAACTATCAGCTTTGCTGCAAAAATACAAAAGAAAATCAGTAAAACAAAATATAAATATATCCCTACAGACAGATTGATCCAGCAGAGTACCATGAAATTCTCCCTGTAGAGACAAACTGACGAACATTAATCCGGAGAGGACCGTCAAAAAATAAAGAGCTCCCAAGCCATAGCGTACCATGAAAAGCTCCCTGTAGAGACATACTGACGAGCATTAATCCAGAGAGGACCGTCAAAAAATAAAGAGCTCCCAAGCCATAAAAAACATGGACTCAGAATTAGTGAATCAGGATTTTGAGCATATTGAACTCCCTGGTTGCCCGTAGACCTTCCAAGGTAACCAATACAAAATTTTTGGGAGCATCATCATTGTCCAGGAGGCTTCATACACCAATCTGGGACATTTGCATCAATAGGGCCATAGAATGAATAAAGAAGCAGGCACGTAGAACGTCTGCCAACCTACAGTAATTCCATTAGATCCATAGAATTCCCCCATTTTAGTGTTTTTTCACATAAATTTCTCTTTATGACATGCAACAGAGAAGTGTCACAATTGATTGAGTTACCAAATCTCCTACCATTCCTTTCTCTCCAGATATGATAAATAGCACAACAAACAGTCACATAAAAGTAATTTTTTACTTTTGCATTTCCTTTGTATTGAACTTTTACCCATTCAAAAACCTGCATAATGGTTGGCCTGAAAAGAAAGTATTTCATTCCAGGAAATAAAGCAGTGAGAATGGTAAAAATATAAGAGCACTCAAAGAACAGATGTGTGACAATTTCATTGTGATAATGGCACAGGCTGCAAGTACCAGGCACTATAATGTTTCTCATAATAAGAGCATCAGCTGTCTTTAAACCACCAACTAGTGCCATCCAGACAAATACCGAATGCTTGAGGATGTTTCTTTTAGCCCACACCATTTTATGCCATGAACAAGTTTGATAATCCGCATAGAATTCTTCTATAAAGCTTTTGAATTTATAATTGGACCTATTTTTCCATAACAGACACGGTCCCTCATCCCCAATGGTATTTATACCAGCAACCAAATTTCTCAGATAAGGAGAAATGGATTCAGGAAAAATCCATTGAGTTCCAGTTATCAGGTCTTTCAAGAAAAAATCAGGACAGTCATCCATTGAATAACCCCCTAAATGTTCAGATACAGTCACATTATGCAACCAGTGATCCTAGATCAAAGATATTGGAGCATTCTGGGTTATTTTGAAATTAAAGAAATGTTTAACTTCAAAAGCAGTCTTACATATGAGTTTCCATATTTTTGTTACAAGGTTCAAACTGAGGGGTCTCCAAGGGGATTTGTATTGACAGAGAAGCCACGTGGAGAGAGGAGTGGTACAGTTATACATCCTAAATATAACTGAACAATTGTACACAAATTGCATAGCAGAGATGGAAGGAATGCCAAGACCTCCCTTATTTTTGGGTCTACAAATTTTATCCCAAGAAATCATGTGTAACTTTTTAGCATTCGTAGTGTCCCCAAAAAACAAAAACCTAGCACTTGTTTTGTTGAGAAATTTGTAAACTGATTTTGGTAATATGGACCCTCTAATCCAATAAGCAATTGTGTTTTGAATAGTGAATTTGATGTATTACAGCCTACCCGCAAAAGACAAGAGGTTGGCCTTCCAGCCATTCATTTTCTTGTTGACTTTGTCCATTAAAGGCAAGTAATCTTCTATTTTCAATCTATAATATGATAAATGAATACCAAGGTAATTTATTTTGTTGACAATATTGTATATAGTTAGAGCTTGACATATATCTTGAGTGTGTCTTTGATTTCTGGGGAACATAATAGCACTTTTTTCATAGTTAACTTGGAGACCCGATGAATTGGCAAAATCCCTTAAAGTGTTGGCCAAAATATTGCAATTCTCCAATGTAGCCTCCCCAAAAATTAATACATCATCTGCATATAATATATGAGAAAGATAGTAATTATCAATGGATATGCCTTTAAATCCTATACTCTCCAATAGGTTTGAGAAAGCATCCATGACTATGCAAAATAAATAGGGACTAAGAGGGCATCCCTGACGTAGACCTGCAGAAGAAGAGAAAAAGCCTTCTAGAGCCCCATTGAGCACTATGGAGAAATTCACATCAGTGATACATGATTTTATCCAGTTTATAAAAAGATTGGGAAAACCTTTTTGGACTAGTCTAGCAAGCAAAAATTCTCGGCTAACAGAGTCAAAAGCCTTTTTTATGTCCAATTTTGCACAGAATGTGTTGTAATTCCTTCTCTTACCAGCAAAAAATAGTATTTCATTAGCTAGAAGTATGTTATCAGTGGATACTCTAGATTTGACAAAGCCCGCTTGATTGTCCATAACAATCAAGTTCATCACTGGTTTCAGTCTTTCCACAAGCACCTTAGCAATAATTTTGTAGATGGCGTTACATAACGCTATAGGTCTGTATTCAGAAATAGCAGTAGCATTTTTGTGCTTTGGGATAATTGCCAGTGCAGTAGCCTTTACACCATTTGGCATATAACATTTTTGGAAAAAAGATTTAATGGCCATACAGACAGATGGACCAATTATATGCCAAGCCGACTTATAAAAAAAGAAATTGAAACCATCTGGCCCCGGGGCTGAATTAGTAGAGCCTGAGAAAACTGCATGTTTAATCTCCTCATCCAGCACTAAAGAAGAAAGCCGGTGAACCTGAGTTTGAGGTAACAACACCCCAACAAGAAAACCATTCAGATTCTCATTAGGAGGGGGAAAGGGGTTATAGAGGCCTTGATAAAATTGAATAAGGGAGTTAACCACTTCAGATCTAGAAGATGCTGAATTATTAGCAAGAAGATTTGCCACAGAGTTATTAGAACCTCTTCTAGTTCTTATTTTAGCATATAAGAATTTTAAGTCCTCCTCCCCCATTTTTAATCCAGTTCACTTTTGCCCTCTGAATGATCCAAGAGGCATACGTTGAGTTGAATTTAGCAAGCTCCATATTTAACTCCTTGAATGAATGATTTAATGCAGGATTGATAGGGCCATTCTGAAGCTTAACCAACAGATTAGCTTATTTATTATTCAAGTTATCCAAATGCCTAGAAACGCATGTGGAAGAGGACCACTCCTCTTTTTTAATAGCACATTTTATCTGCTTCAAAGTTTTACTGAGATGAGATAAAGGGTTCCCTATGCAAGGGGAGGAAAAAGCCTCAAGAAGAATGGCCCAATAACTATCTAGATTAGACCAGTAGTTTTTGAATATGAAGCGATGATTCACATGGACATTTGACCCAGAGTGTAAAATGATTAGACAATGGTCCGAGCAGGAAGGGCTTTGAAATGAGCAGTAAGAATCAGTAAACATATTCAACCAACCCTCATTCACTAAAACACGATCGAGTTTTATGTGTATAGGATTACTAGTGCGCTGATTGAACCATGTATATTTAAAGCCAACCGAATGCAAATCCACAAGGCTATTACTAAAAATCATATTGTTAAAATCTAACAGTGCAGATTGAGTAATAGGAGTACCTCCTAATTTTTCATTGGCATACCTACATTAATTATAGTCACCAATGAAAGCCCAAGGGAAACCAGCAGCAGGAGCCAATTGTGCTATAGAATTCCACAGATGTTTGCGCTCAGCATGACTGTTAGCCGCATATATTGCAGAGAGCTGAAACAGAGGAAGGTTAGCAACCCAAATTGTCCCCGAAATAACCTGAGACGAGATATAAGAAGGCTTAAACATAAGTTTTGAGGCATTCCACTTTATCCAAATCCGACCCGAGGCAGATAAATCAAAATTGTTGCAACTTGCTTCATTAGAATAAAGAGAATGAGAAGCTTCGAAAAAAGGATCTCTTAAAGAATGAGAGTTAATCCTATTTTCCAATATGCAAACCAAGTCTAGCTTGAATGATTGTATGAGTCGCTTGAAACATAACACTTTATCAGGGTGATTAAATCCCCTGATATTCCATGCCGCCATGGGTGGAAAAAACATTAAGAGTTTGGGTGAGACTGGGGTTTTTTGTTCTGCTTTCCCCTTGCAGGTTTTTTTGACGCAGCACTCGATTGAGTCTGTTTATTTTTCTCCGGCATTATGCTTTTGCCACTAATCGATAAGTCTAATTTTCCATCCACGCCCTCTAAATCTTCAGTGTGTTGAGAGTTGACTTCCTCTATATTGAGGACTTCAAACTTATTTGGGGATATAATATCTTTAGTCTTGGCGGGGGATTTTGTGTTCAGAGAAGTAGACGAAGAAGAGAATGCCTCATTGGGAAAATTCAGGTTAGGGATACCTGACACAATAACATCCTCATTAATAGGCAAATCCGAAGAAGGCATTTCTCCTCCAAAATTGTCTAAATTGATATGGGGATTCTGGGAAGTTGGGGAGTGCGGCTGAAAATGCAAAGGGTGGCCTAATGCATTTGATATATTGACGTTATTGTGATTTGTGGATTGTGCAGCGTTACTGAGCGGGGCTTGATGCACCACATTAGTGGGCGGAGGCCTAGAGAAATTCTGACTCCTAGACTTGTTTCTGCTTCGTGCATTCCTACTGTGACTCCTACCCCGATTAACAGTTTTATTTTTCTCCAGTTCATCTGAATCAGTCTTAGGCTTTTCCATACAAGATGCAGAAAAATGCATTAAAGACTTACAGTATTCGCAGGGAAGTGGACGCCATTCATACTGAACTTTTAAGCTTACCACGTCGCCATCTAAAGATACTTGAATCTCTTCCGGATATGTGGCTTTGTTGTCAACTAGAACACAAATTCGAGCATACGTGAGCCTGAACTTTTGCTCAGTTAGCTTATCTGCAGCCACCGAAACACTAATTTTACTAGCTATTCGAGAGATACCCTCTGAATTCCAACATGCAAGGGGTAGATCGTGTATCTTCACCCAGATCGGGACAGACGAAAATTCTTCCTTCTTCGGTATGAACTTGGGATGCCATTTTTGAAGCACAAAAGGCTTACCCAACAGGAACCAGACTCCTCTCGACCATACCGTATCAAAATCTTCTTGGCAAGTTAACCTAAGAAGGAAAAATCCATCATTGAGAGAGAGCAACTTAAACGTACCTTTTAAGCTTCAGGTCTTGTTCATGGCCCCCAGCAGAGCCTCATAAAAGAGTCTGCGCCCGATCGAGTACCCAACCAGGCATAAATCCCATTCTTCCCCTCCCTTGCACAACTTTTCACTCGAAAAAGGTATTATGTCAGGCTCAGATGGATGATGTAAAAACTCAAGAGATTTTGGGGCGTTATTATCTGGAGCGAAGACCTTGCTCCAGTTCCTCGGGAGAGAATTCAGAATACCATCAGAAGATGGGCCTAGAGGAGGGAAATCCTACTTACTAAAGGTTGTATCCATTACGAGGGGGTCCTCCGACCTCGCCGGAGGAGGTGAGCGAGGGAAAGTCTGCAGGAGGCGACGACGCAGAGAGGAAACCCTAGCAGGCTCGCAATTCATTCCTTCTGAACTTCTTTATTGTCTCTTAAAATCTTGGAGCTCATGTGATTGATGTGCTAAAATTTAAAAGCCATGTTCTCAACTTTCTGACCATCGTCTATTAAATGGTGTTTAAAGATTAGTGATGTAATCTGTTTTTGTTATTTAGGCTTTGGTGTATTTATTGCTAGAAATACCGAGTTATAACATGGAGACAAGAGGAGAATCATATGTAAAAAAAAAATGCGAACTTTTTTTCAAATTTTATTCACGTACTAAACCCTAAATCCTAAACCTTGTTAGATATTATAGTACATGCTATAACTTTGTTGGAAATATATTCAAACCTTATTTGAACTGCTTGTGAAATGGTTGAACTTTATTCAAACTATATTAGGAATATACTCATACCTTATTCAATCAATGTTTGAAAATTAGGAATATGCTCAAACCTTATTCAATCAATGTTTGAATCTTTTTTTTAAGTTCAAATAATAGTTGAGTATGGTTAAAGAAAGTTTTTAACATTGTTAGAATAAATTCGATTATGGTTCAAACATGGATAGAACTATGTTCAAACAAGATTGAAGACATTTGTTTTGCCTCATTATCTTGTATAAAATAAATTCATTTGGGATACTTTACAGGATACGTAGATGACCACTCTAATTAGATTTGTAGGGAGTCGTTATTTTGCTCAGGTAACATACAAGGTCGAGGGTGTAATGCATGAATTTGCTAGATACTATTTGTGGCATTTAATTCTATAATAAGGGATAAGAACCCCTCTTTATGTAGCTTTTCAAAGCTCCTAAGCTATAGCTATTTGCAATCCTAATTAATAACCTAGTGTTGAAGATGGTTGATGATAAAGAGAATCAATTCCTTGTATCGAAAATGTTCACTCCGCTAGGATTTCTCGCTACCCCTCTCTCGACACTCCTAGCCGCCGCCACCGCTATCGCTGCTGATGTTCCAGGGAAGCTTCTCTCCTCTTAATTGTTTATCTGCTTTATCACTTTGTTCTTCCTATTTCGCCCACCTTTGGCCTGTTGCTGCCTAAATGGCGATGAAATATTTGAAGGACCCTGGATTTTTGGATGTTTTGTTAAAATCGTGCTCTTTCTTGGAGGCAATATATGGTATTTCTTTTGACGTTTGTTTTCCTGAGCTCAAATCAATTGTTTTTTATAGTTTTCCCTCACTGTGGATCTCAAAGCTAGGAGGAGATCCTCTCGTTGGCTGCTCCTCTTAAATTTGTCTTGGTTGGCTTTTTTTTCCTCTCGTCGCCCTAGCCTTGAATCCATTAGAAGGCTTTTCTTCAATCTTAAGTAAATGGTAATTTTTTATTACCCTATTGGATTCATTGCATGTGCTTATCAAATTGGAGAATGATCTTAGTTATAGTAGGATTTTCTGTCACATATCTTATTTTGTTAGCAACTACTACATGAAACTTACTAAATGGTCCCCTTTTGTGGATATTGGTGTGGAGTCACCTATTATTCCGATCTAGATTTCTTTCTTGAACTTGAGGCTGCACATTTTCTCCCCCTATCCTTTACGACTTAAGATCTCTGCTTGGTCTTCCATTGAAGGTGGATAATGCTACTTCTATTGGTTCGCGCCCGTTAGTAGCGCATGTGTTGGTTGAACTTGATATCACCAAAAATTATTTTGATAGAGTGTGGATTGGTCCTGAAAAGTATGATTATATTCAACATATTGAGATGGAAGTGTTCCCCCACCTTTGTGTTCACTGTAAATGCATTGGTCATTTGAGGGGTGATTATCAACTCTTATCCTTTGGCCTGAAAATTATTCCTAATAATGTTATTATTGTTATTAATTATAATGAGAATGTCATTATTGCTAAGGATAATTCTTTTAATATTGAGTCTCTTCTTCAACTCATGCATTGCATGTTAATGATTTAGTGGTGAATTATGTGAATGAGATGATTGATCCTTCGGCTGTGGCGTGTACTAGGGGATTTGGTACTAATTCTTTTTATGGTGATTTGGAAGCATGGGTCATGGTTCATCCTGAATCTATGCCAGTGGTGGGGGGTGATCCAATGGATTTTGGTCCTGATGTGGGGGGTGAACCATTAAATTATGTTTTGCATATATCAAAAAATCGTGCTATTAATGAGGTTTTAGGGAGGATTTGGGAGCACTTACTTATTTGTTTAACGGTATAGCTTGTCCTATTTCATCCGATCTTGGAAATGAAGTCATTGCTCTTGTGGATTGTAGTATTTTGAGTTTTATTGGAACCTGAAGCATGTTCTTTGATAGTTTTGGTTTATGATGAGTTTGTGGAGGGTGATCATATTGTTATTTCTTCTGGTATTCCCTGTAACACAGGGGAGGATGAGAATGTGTCATTTTTTCATGTGCTGGTTGAGCTTATTTACTCTAATGAATTGAAAGCTAAATTGTCTTCCAATTTAATGGAAACTCATGTGGATCACTATGATTGGCTTGATGAGTTTAATTTTCTCTTTTTGGGAATGTTGGGGATGATTTGGATGATCCGATGGATGAGTTTCAAGAGTTATATGATTTGAATCTAAATCATATTGTTATAAAAAGTCTTTTTCTCATGGTGGAAGCAAACGTAGTAATTGAAAATCTAGAAAGAAGTAATTGGTTTTGGGTTTCTATATTCTGCTTATGGGCTTCAATTGGGTGGTGGGTCTTTAGTGTCTGGTTGTTTTACTTCCTTTAGCTATTGTTATATTTTTGCCTTTGACATTTGGGTGGATGGTTTCTATCTTGGTTGTTTGGGTTGGCCCTTTTCTGGTTGTGGGTTCATTTATGTTATGGGTTTGTTTTGATTTTCTCTATTTAGTCTTGTGCTTTTTGTAGGTCAAAGACTTCATGGTTGCAGCGGCATCTTCTGAGGTCTTTGATGGTTGCTACCTCTTTAGTTGGTTTTGTATTTGAGCTAGTTTTCTTTCAGTTGGAATTTTGTATTTAGTTTGTAACTAAGGCTCATAGGTTTTATTTATAATGATGTATTTTAGAGGGTTTTGGTTCCTTTAAGGATTTATAATTTTGCTTTTTATTAACGTGTATGCCCCTTATGTGGATTTTATCCAAAAAAAAAGTTGATGATAAAGAGAATGAGAAACACTCCCTTGTGTTCAATATTAAAGGGAAGCACATGAGATTTATAGTAGTTGAATTTGCATTAATCACTAGGTTGGGATTTGTAGATTTTTCATATGAAAATAAATTCAATGAGATGAATAAAATTACTTGGTTTATAGATAACAACTTGAATGGAGACAAGAACTTTAAGAAAACAGACCCAAAGAATATAGAAGAAAGTTATCACCCTAAAATTTGTTTGTAAGTGCATTGGTCGCACTAAGGAGAAACCAAGAGAGGAAGCTAAAGAACAACTATCTACTAGTTAATCCATGCCATCTTTAGATCAGTCGAAGCAACTTGTAGTTGTTGAAGAACTAAGAAACAACTATCTCATACTTGAGAATAAGTTTGGAATAAAACTTGAATGTTATAAGTAAATTTGTATGAGTAATGTATAGAGGGGGTGAAGGAGAATAAATGTGGATTAGGCCACACAAATAAGTGTAGATAAGGAGGTTAATAAGGAGTTTCATATTGCTAAATCACCCATTCTCGCTTAGAAGGATGAGAGGAGGATATTGGAGCTCCTTGCCACTAATTATTCCATTTCCTTGGAGACTCAAGGTGATGTAGTATCAGAGGCAAGAAATGCTAGCTCATCACTTGTCATTATATGTTCACGTACTATGAATCTATGATGCACAAGGCAAGATATGTTAGCCCATATCTTGTCATTATATGTACAAATATTATGATGCAAGAGGTTGTATCTCTGGTCATTGTGCTAGAGATGATGAAATTAAACGATTATCAATTAAAAAGAACCTAGAATAAGAAGCATAATGATATTATTTTATAGATCCATTATGCAAGAAGTGAAAGCCAATGGATCCAACAATATTAATCACCTTCACCCAATTGATGAAGAGCAATTATCTTTCTTCAAAACTCGGTTAGCAAGATTGGAAGATAACTTCGAAGGGAGGGAAACAAAAATAATTGATGAAAGTACAATGTGATTATAGCTAAATACAATCATGAATTGACTAAAATAGTATGATAAGTATTCATTAGTATGTTGATTAACTAACTTTTGACTATATAATTATATTGTGTTTCTTATTATAATTTACTCCTTTTTTATAGACCATAGATGCTTCATGTTATCTAATAAGGAAGTAGATGCTGAACTACCAAAAAAATGTGGATCATGCATCAGTATCTTATATGAATGATTCAATTAGAGCTATAAAGTAACAATCTTTACATACAACAAGTTTTAGAGAGAATGTCTCTGTGGTATCCTTAAGCCCGATATGCAGGTTATTGGGCTGTGGATTATGATGATCACCTGCTATCCACTTTTTGGATGGCCTACGGGCAACCAAAGTGGGAAAGACCCTACGATGAATGAAGCCAAAAATATACTTAGTTCCTCCCAGATTTACAAGCTCTTTAGTCTGTATATTTATGTACTGATTATTGTTTCATCTTTTTTTGCATATTCTGGATTTTTTTCGGACAACACCTGCTGGGAAGGACTTGATATGGACTGGACGATTATGGATGGTTGCAAATGCTGGAAGATGGAACGTAGGAGTTTGAGGATTCTGGGACATGGGGACTACTTGGATTGTGTTGATGATTTATCCTTTGATCCTGTCTTTACCTTCGGGTTTTCTACGGCTTACTTGGATCTGATATATCTACCTTCTGCTTGGTTGAGAAAGTCTGAAGTCTGATGTTGTCTTCTTTAATGTTCTTTATTTCCTTAATTCCTTTTATGTTGGTTTTTTAATAGGTTTGGTTTTCTTCATTCTATATTAGTTATAGAATGATTGGTTGTAGCTGTATTTTTATTCTTTTATTTCCTGCATTTGTTTGGTCCTTATTGTTGAACTTTTTATTTGTCTTTTAATA